AAAAAAGTAAATCAGAGCTAAAAAAGTGCAAAAACACAGGCAAATTTGCCTGTGTTGGTCTACATATTAAGGGATAAGTATTTTTATTATTTAACTTTAAAAAATTTAAATTAAGCTAATTTTTATTTTTTTTTAATATAAAGAAAATATTTAGCATATGTAAACTTTTAATGTTCTTATAACTTTTTAACTTGTATGAGTAAAGCACAAATTTGTCATTATAGAAAAAAATCTGATAATGATATTCTATCATATTTTATTGGATGTTCTGCTTGGATAGCAGGAAAAAAATATATACATCATTGAATAGATGAAAATAAAATTGATATAGTTATATTAGAAAAGTTATTTAAAGGCAAATCTGTAAGTAATAATAATTTATTTAATTTTAATTTATTAGTTTATTAACTTATTAACTTATTAACTTATTAATTTATTATTAGCTTAATTTAAATAAACTAATAAAAAATTGTCACACAATATTATTTACAAGTTCTTGAAAAAAAGAATGCCATATGTAATTAATAATCAATTATATTAAAATAATTATATTAATTAATTACTAATTTATATAATTTATTATATTAGTATTTTTTTATTTATCAGATGAAGGTTTTAAACAAAAAGAAAAAATAATTAAATTAAGCTGTAATTTTAAATTTATTAAACTTGTTCTATTAGATTTAAAAACAATACTATTTGTTGTTTTAATATGCAAAGAAATTTATACTTATCTAGTATCACTTCCAGTTACTATTCCAACTAGAATTCAAATTAATTTGGAATGTATAATTAATGAAGCTACTCAAGCATTTGAACGAGTTTTATCTAAAAAAATTTTATCTAGTAATTTATTAAAAGTATATTTTAGTAAAGATCTTTATATTGAAATACATGCTTCTCTTAATAATTTAGATAAGTTAAGATATCTTGTAAATAAAGCACAACAAAACCAATTTCCTTATAAACAAGGTTTATTGAGAATTGCTACAGAATTCTGGAATGGAAATAAAGAATTTAATAGATATTTACAAGAAATTGGGTTGTTTATTATATTAATAGTATATATTATTTATTTTATTTACTATATTTTAATTTAATTTATATTTATTAAATTTTATAGAAACTTTTAATAATGAAAGTTTAATAATAATCTGTATAAATACAGAACAAGCTATTGCATGAAAAAATTCAGAATGTTTTCAAGTTGATATAGCATTTAAAAGAGTACATAGCAATATTAATAAATTCGAAGTAAATAGTTATTGTGAAAATCATAATCAAAGTAAGAAATTCATAATTATATTTAAATATATAGTAAAATAGATATTTTTTTTTTTTTTTTTTAATTCTTTGACAGTCTTGCCAGTGCTCAATTTATTTAAGACTATATTCAGGTGAGAG